TTTTGAGCATGTACCTAGGAGTGGGATTGCTGGGTAATATGGTCATTCTATGTTTAACTTATTGAGGATCCAAGTGAGGTTACAGCTCCAGGGCCCTACACTGCATGCCAACTTGCCCAAAAGTCTCAAATTCCAAATTCCTTGGGTAGGGAATCAAACTGGCTCAGAGGGAATATAGGCAGCTTGCATGTGTGGCCAGGGTGGGGCAAGGTGGGAGACTGTGGAGCACAGAGTCCAAGGGGTGGACTGCCGCACTGCGACAGGCTCTGCAGCACGCAAAATAAGAGGGCAACAGCAGGCGTCTCTAGCCTGACAAGGAACTCCAGGGAGCCACCTGTGGCTGTAGGAATCCAGTTCTCCATCTTTGACTCAGAGGAGTTGGTGGTGATTTTCAAACACCTTGCTCTCATAATTCACTGTGTCACAAAACTTTATTTTACTGTTTCTAAAATACCACATAAATTTGTAACATTGCCATAATAATCTGGTTGGATGACCATTTTCAAGTCATTCCAAATGAACGAGACAAAACACTCAGCAATTTTATGGGAAATTGCTCTGTGCGCTGTACGCCTGTAAATAGTGCACATTAATAATGCAGCGCTGAGGCTCACACATCACACGGGACGAGAGACGCCTCTCGGTGCAGCTGAGTGTGATGAATAATTAATTTCTTTGCCAATATGAAAAGTTATATTCTGTTAGGAAAACGCACTGACATTTTCATTCCCGACAGATACCCACTCTGTGTTGGAATAATAAAGAGCAAATTATTCTTCCTAAAACATGGGATTTATGTATATGTCACAATGAAAACCACAAGCTGCTTAACACAGTGAATCACTTATAATTATTTTAAAACTCTTCTGAATATGTAGTTCAATCTGAATGTAGAGTCTAGTTGCTTAGGATGGGAAGGGCTCCCTCGTTTGCCTCAAATGCACAGAAAAAATGTCCTCAAAAATAAAACTTTGGAGTTCTTTAAATCAGCAGTTTTTTTCACTATATAACAAATTAAAATTTACCACTCACATAATAACAACCAGTAACTATACTTTTAAAAAAATCTTTAATATCTTAACGCTCAACCACAACCATGCAATACTGTATTTTTTGAAGGGAGCAAAAAAAATATTAAAGAGAAAGATTTCCTCAAGCCATATGAACTCTGTGAAATATGATTCATAATATTATATTTTATAAAAAGCCATAATCCCTTTCGCCATCCTCCCTGTTACCTTTTTTAAGTTATTTCCAGATATTTTTTCAATTATCAATATTCTGACCATTTTATGCAAAAACCTTTGCATTTTCAAATATTTTCTCAGGTTAGATTTCTAGAAGTGGAATTAGAAGTTTGAAAGATATGGACATGTCTAGTACCAAATTATTTTCAAGAAAGGTTGGAATAATTTATAACCATACCGACAGTATGAGAGAGAATTTATTTTAACAAATTCTCATGATTGTTTGGCGTTTTCAGTTTTGAAAACTCATTCATGGTTTAGGGTAGGGGTGGAGAACCTTTTCATGTTGGAAGGCCACATTAATTTAGCTGTAATCCTCCGGCTCACACCTGTAATCCTAGCAATCTGGGAGGCTGAGGCAAGAGGATTGCTTGAGGTCAAGAGTTCAAGACCAGCCTGAGCAAGAGCAAGACCCCAGTCTCTACTAAAAAATTAGAAAGAAATTATCTGGACAACTAAAAATATATAGAAAAAAATTAGCCAGGTGTGGTGGCACATGCCTGTAGTCTCAGCTACTCAGGAAGCTTAGGCAGAAGGATTGCTTCAGCCCAAGAGTTTGAGGTTGCTGTGAGCTGGGCTGATGCCATGGCATTCTCGCCCAGGCAACAGAGCAAGACTATGTCTCCAAAAAAAATTTTTAACTGTAATCAAATAAGGCCCTATTCAAGAAAATTCAATTGGATATACTTAAAAATGTAAGTTATTTTGTAAAAATCTAACTACTATATACTTAATAATTTCAAAAATGAAAACTATTTGTTAATTTTAAAGTTAACTAACCTTTTAATGATTTTTTGTGTCTGCTTTTTGTTAGAAAGCATTTGAATATTTTTTTGCAGCATGGAGGTCCACAGTTTCAGTTGATCCTCTGGATGGTTATCGGTCATTTGTGACCTTAAGGGCATCTTGATTTGGGTTAGGTAGAAGAATGTAGATTTACAGCAATAAAAAGTTGAAAAGCAAGAAAGCATTTTGGGGACATGTTGCCAAAGGCCTGAGTATTCTACTGCATTTTCCTATATTTCTATTGGATCTTTCTTAACATTAAATGACTTTTTAAAAAGTCATCTACTGAGAGTGCAATCAATTCCATTTGTAGTTCTTTAGGTGCCTTGGTGACATCAACTAGGTGAGGCTGAAGTGCTAATTTGAGTGTGATGTCATGATTCTCAAAGTCAGTGAAAATTTCATTGTATTCTCCAACTAATAGATCTGCAACAGCTGCATATTCTTCAAACGATTCGCATATCCCATCCTGCTCATCAGTGACTTTTGCTAACTGAGGAAAATGTTCATGCGAAATTTCTGAGGAAGTTTTTTGAAAAAAGATACCCTTTTTCAAAATGCTTGGATTTTTTCCCACATATCATATATAGACTTAGTTTTATCTTACAAAGAAATATTCAAGTCATTTTGATTTGACATGACATCACACAAAAATGCTGCATTCCTACAGAAATTTTCTTTCAATAATTCATGTTGCTGATTCTGTTCTTCATAAAGTTTATCTATTCTTGAAGAGTTAAATTTTTAGCTAACACCTGTCCCTGCAATAGCCAATACACTTGAGAATGATACTACAAATCCACACTGAATACCTCGTCCTTCAATTTTAGCATGTTTTGAAACTATGTGTGGTGTTTGCACAATATAGTTAACAATACTTATAACTTGTTGCAAAATGTCACTTAAAATCGTAGATTTAGCACAGAGATTTTGCTGATGCAAGTTACAATGAAAAGAAATGAAAGCATCTGGATCTGTCAATACTTTTTTTTTTAATCTATGCAATAAATCCTTCATGTTTTCCTGTCATGGAAGGTGCACCAGCTATACACATACTCACTAAATTTACCAAATTCAGTCCAACTTCATGACATTTATCTTAAAAGCTGTTGAAGTTATCTATTCCCCGTGTTCTGTTTGCAAGAGTGCCCAAAGTGAGTAACTCTTCATAGCAAAGATAATCTGTTATGACCCGAATGAAGTATAAAACCTGTGCTGAGTCAGTTGTATCAGTTGATTCATCCAAAGTGATTAAATTATATGTAACATTTTCCTTTTGAAGTATTGTATAAAGTTGTTCCATTGAGTTGAAGGCTAATTCATGCTATGGATCAGTTATGGTTCTCCTTGAAAGAGGCAGTTGTTTGTACTTTGAAATGTTGCCAGTCTCTAAGTATCCTACAACTTTGACAGTGCATTCTTTCACAATTTCTACATCACTGAATGGCTTTTCTTTTTTCCCCAAGTAGATAAGCTACTTTGTAAGTTGCTTCAGTGTTATTATTTCCAGGTCTTATTGCCGCTTGAAAAGAATAGTCTTTGCTTTTGCTTTTCATCTTTCAATTTCTGCAATACAACCTTTTGTGCCTCTCCCTCTAATTGAAAATATTTGTGGTTCTTGTGAGTGTTGTAATGCTGATGAGCATTGAATTTCTTTACTGTTGATATTGTAGTATCACGATCTTATCTTATCACATCTTATCTTCAGCAGAAACAAGATAATATTGCAATTCCCAGTCTTTATTAAAAAACCTATTTTCTTCCTTCAGCATTCTCTTGGTCTTCTTTGACATGATAGACTGTTAAGCAGACAGAATTAAAAGAATACTGTTGAACTGTGCAACTATTCACAAATTCCAGTTCAAACAGAAACACAGTGCACCACTGTCAAAAGTCCATAACAGACTGGCGTACTCATCTGCTGTAAACTCGCCAACCAGCCTTGTGCGGTAGTGGCACCAGTCAGGCAGGGAAAGTTAGAACTAAATCATGAACATAGCAGCCATCAATTTAGCCCTTATGGCTTACTAATGTTCAAATTGTGTAGGTCAATCTGGGAGGATTATTTCATTGAAACTTATTTTATTCTTTGGTATTTTAAATATGTTTGTTTTAAAAATAAAATAAAAATATAAAAGATGAACAAAAATGTGTTAATAAAAATAAAAGGATTTGTTCTGTAAAATTTGGATTCAGTCAAATGGCTGCACTTAAGGGCCTAGGTCACATGTGGTCTTCAGGCTGCACGTTCCCTACCCCTGGTTTAGGGCATATAATTGTACTTTATTGTTGTTTATATGATTGTTTATAATCATATATTATTGTTATTTAATTTTTATTTGGCTACTAGCAAAACAAGGCATTTGTCCCAACATTTATTAGTCATTTGTATATATTTGATCATACATTTGCCCATTTTATTGAAGTTTTAATGCCTTTCTATTAATGTATATGAGCCATTTAAATATTGATATTTTCTTTTTCATATTTGTTTAAAACACTTTTCAAAATTAGAAGTCTGACTTTTAGTTGTATTTATAGTATACTTTGACACATACTATTTTACATTTTTATGGATTCAGCTATACTGAAGACAGTCTTTGAAATAAATGCTAGTTTTTGAACTTGGAGAGTCCTATGACATTCGTGGATTTGAGGAATATATTTAATGTGCATTTCTAAAATGTTAACACTTAGATTTTTTGAAGCATATTTTTCTCTAATCTAACTGAACTCTATTGTGCAGCATGTTGTTAAGTCTGGATCTCAGTTGTTCTTTTACAAATCATTAACAAATAGACCAAGCCATTTGATGAATAAAGATTCTATTTCTATATGATTCATATTCCTTCTTCCTAAAGGGCTACAGTTTCTTCTCTAGTACAGTCTGCTTTTGAGCTATTTAATGGACTGTGTTGGCATGCTTGTCTACAGGAAGCTAATTTTATTACTGTACCTTTATTACAGATTCTAATTGAAAAGAAAAAAGCAGCATCCGCCATGGGGGAGCCAGACGTGCCGAGCACAGGTGATTTCACAGAACATCAGCCTCAAACTGTCAGGGTGATGGAACGAGACCAAAACCAGCCCACAGCGTGTCTGCACACAGACAAACCAAAGAGCATTGTGCAAACCACAAAATGACAAACAACCCCCTCCTGGCTAATAGGAGTGACCGTTGTCTCTTTAATCCCAGCTTTAGCCTAGCTGGGTGGTGCTCTGTCTTGATAAGATTTCTCATAATGTGCTGTCATAGAATTGCCCTTGCTCTCTGACAGCGTTCAATTCAGAGCACTTAGCTGGGAAAAAAATTAGACTAAATTGAACTCAATGTCTAATCTGGCTTTAAACTGCGTTTGATTTAAACTTTTATGGAATCTCTTTAGGGGATGCTCAGTCTTTGGATGAATTCCTCATTCCTCTGATTTCTGGAGCCCCGCCCCACGGCTTCTCTCTAAGACTTCTGGGTGCGGGAGGCCCGGGGAGCCCGCGGTGGTAGAAGGTAGAAGGAAGCTCTTGCTTAAGGTGCAGTAGGTCTGGTGTCCCCTGGGGTAAGGTTGTCCTTGTCCCATCCCTGGGCATTCTGCTGACATCTAGAGCTGACAGGCTCCATCCTGCTCTCTCCCTCTGCTAGTCAGGGCTCTGTTTTGTGCTCGAGTCTCCCCCAGGCTCTCAACTCCCTGTGTTTCTGTCAAGTCCTCCTCCAGCTCACGCTGGAGGACCCTGCTCATCCCGCTATGATGGGTCCTCGCGGGCCTGCTGGCCTCAGCCACATGTTGTGGCCTCTTGGGATCTGAGAGACGTTCAACCATCAAACCTACAGCACTCTCTCTGTCCGTGCCCCTCGACCCTCTGAAATACGTTGGGCTACCCATCGTCTGTCTAGTATACCTTCTTTCAGTCCCGTCTGGGAAAAAGAAATCAGAACTGCAGTAAATATAAACTGCTCCCACTGGTGAGGCAAAGGGACCAATCACTCTCCTTACCTCAAATTCAATGGCATCATCATCATCATAATAATGGCCTAATAGGCCTGGCCTGGCTCTTGGTTATGCTAATCCTTCCTTACAATCATGCCTGGCCTCAGAGAGAGCACTAGTCCTCTGAAATTCTATTTTGAATTTCATAAGCTGAAATTACTTTCTTTTCTTTGCATTCCCTCTGTTTTCATGTTAATTCCACCCCTGCTATTTCTCTGGGAGCCAAGGCAGAAGGATGCCATACTCAGAGGAAGACAAAAGGAAAAAGCTTTAATAATTTCAAACTCTTCCTCCCATTCCAATCACCCTTTTGTTCCCCAGACTGAGGAGGGTCTGCTAGGGTTTGGGGCTAGAGCAAGTATGAATATCTTCCAGGCAAAACATCCTGAAGTGGTAGCAAGTCATTATGTCAAAGTTAAAAGGAGGGGGCAAAGAAAACAGCCCTGTTTTTCTTCTTTTTCAATTTGGAAAGTTTTATTTTCCTAATTTATGCATGAGATTTTTTCTCTATGGCTCTGAATATGATTAGCTTACGAGTTCTTAATAAACATCAGTAACCAAGGACCTATGTTATTGTATGGAAATTAGCTGCAGCAGGTGCTGGTGATGAACTGCCCAATACCACACCCCCCCCCCCCCCCCCACCCCCGTCCCCCTCCAACACACACACCTGAGTGTCCCTGGAGCTTCAGTAGCTGGGTCTCTGACAACTGACAGCTTCTTATTTGTGTCTCACTGCGTCCCAGCCCATGGGCTTGCTTGGCACTGTGGGCCTTGCTCAGTTCAAGCTCAAGGAGCCCAGAAATTCTGAGGATCCAATGCCCCTAAGATAAACCCTCCACGAATGAGGGATGAGAGTTATAGATAAATGTCCCAGCTTTCCTTCCATCAGGAGTAGCCCTGAACCATATTCTACCTGGTGGTGAGGGGTGGTCCCTGGCTGCCTGCTGCTGCCATACTTAGCAATGCACCCTTTATGTGCTTTTCCCTCTCCTCTGTCCCACGTCCTCTGTCCCTCCCTCAAGCATCCCAGCATGGCCCTCATGGCCCCTTCCTGTATTCAAGTTTTCCTGATGGGTCTGCCTTTGGGGCATTCTGAACTAAGAAATTAGCTGGCAACTAGTACCTGTCCACACAGTTCATGAGTGAAACACTGAGCTTAAGAGGTTTAGGGTAGTAGTTTCTTTCATCAAGGGGATAGGAGAGTGACCCAGAACTCTGTCTTCATGTAAATGTTTGTGTAGAAGTCAAATATATAAAGCAGAAAAGTGTGTTTGAGAAGAGTCTGGGAGGAGACTGCAGGCCACCACTGTCCACTCCCAGGTTCTTCTGGGGATGCACGTGGTTACTGTTCTGTCATTGGTTTCCTTTCTTTTTTTTTTTTTTTTTTTTTTTTGAGACAGTCTCTCGCTTTGTTGCCCGGACTAGAGTGAGTGCCGTGGAGTCAGCCTAGCTCACAGCAACCTCAAACTCCTGGGCTCAAGCGATCCTCCTGCCTCAGCCTCCCAAGTAGCTGGGACTACAGGCATGCACCACCATGCCCGGCTAATTTTTTTCTATATATATTAGTTGGCCAATTAATTTCTTTCTATTTATAGGAGAGACAGGGTCTCGCTCTTGCTCAGGCTAGTTTCGAACTCCTGACCTCGAGCAATCCACCCGCCTTGGCCTCCCAGAGTGCTAGGATTACAGGCGTGAGCCACCGCGCCCGGCCTTGGTTTCCTTTCTGTTATCCTGCCTGGGCAGTGAGGGAGAGGGGAGGTTTTGACTAGGAAGAACGCTTGGCTAGGTACAAAACATGCAGGCTCAGCTAGTGTGTCTTTGGGTCACAATTCTCAGAAAGTAGGTGAGACTCCAGGTATCTGGGTGGAGTGTGGAAAATGATCCATATCGTGTCCACAAAAAGAGATGCTTTAAAGAAAATAAAATGGTTTAGGTCTATGTAAAATATTTTTTCATCTAAATTCACCCCTTTAGAAATAGTCATTTCCTGTAACTTTATCATCATATGAAAGATCTCATGGGATCTCCCATTAGGAGACCCCAATGTGCTTCTTTTCTGCGCTTTCATTTTAACTTTGAGTTTCTTCCACTCTGACCACCAGAACCTCCTCATTTCATGTATTTTCATAGGTGAATCCCGTATCACTCACCTGCTACCACACTTGCTTGGATGAACCCCAGCTCTGATGTGACATGAAGTCTGCTTGAGGGAATGCTCCTAACTGAAAGATTTTGGGAAGCTCAAAAGAAGGTCTTTGCACCTCCATGGTGGTGCTTAGATAACTAACTGGCCCTTCTTCCAAAGGAGGAGTCTATGAAAATTTGGAGACACAGGAACATTTGGAAACCCAGAAAAATGCTTCCTTAGCCACAAACGTGGTTTTTAGAGGAGGCGTCCCATGCTAGTGTCTGATGAAGCAGGAGTGCCTGACCAGGACAACAGGGCCTCAGGACTTGTCACGGAGGACAGTCATGTGTGCATATTCACGAGCTGCCTCCTATCTGGATTTTTTTAAAACTAGCTGCGGGTTTGGAGGAAGGATTTGATGTGCATCATGCCACTGGATAACAGCTACTACTTCAAACGCAGGGGAAGGGAGAAGTTCCTCCAGCCGGCAGGGCAGGTACCATGCCTGTGACAAGGCATGAGGTCTCTGGCCGGGACTTACAGTGCAGGGGCCAAGAAGGCAAAAGGACATTCTCCACAGTTGCCGTCAGAAGCAGAAGGGTGGGGCTGTGGATGACAGGCATGTGGCCTCAGAAATGAAGAGAGCCACCCACAAGCTTAAAAAGCAGGTCACGTTGCAGGTTGGCTGTCTAAAGAGAAAAGCTCAAAGCACTTTCTCTCTCAATTTCAAATGACTCCCCAAAGACAGACAGGGCTGGTAACATTCATCTTTGCTGCCTACACCAAGCACCAACTATTTTCTTTTCAGTAGGACACCATTCCAGGAACTTTTATGATTGAAAGGGAGAGGGCTAAATAATTCACAAAGCACAGAAGGGCTGCCGGTTTTTCTTCTGGGCTTTCTGGAAAAGGGAGCTCTGGATGGCATTGAGGTTGGCTCTGAGAATAGACAATTCAGAGAGACTCAGAAAAAGACTGTAGAGTGAATGTGTTATAGGTGTATGTTGTGTGTGTGGTATGTGTTGTGTGCTGTGTGCATTTGTACATTGTGTGTATGTGGTGTGCTATGTGCATGTATGCATTTGTACATTGTGTGTGTGTACATATGTGTGTGTATCAAGTCTAAGTGGTGCCAAAGTTCTGCTGGCCAAGTTCATTATTATTAGGACTCTGCCTGCCTGAAGGCGGAACATACTCAGGCAGCTGGAAATGGTGGGAATGTTCCTTTATTGTTGCTGTCTCCTCCCCTTACAGACTATCCGTGTCCACCTTACACACATGCCTGGGAGCCCTCTCTGACTAGGTTCCCACTCCCTTTCTTTTCCCACATTCTCCCACCAGAGTCCCAGTTTCAGCTGTCCCCACTCCTTGTGGACCAGGACTGCACATCCCGCTTGCATTTTGTGGCCAAGCCTGGCAGTCACGCTGCCCTGGGTCCTCGTCTCCAGAGTGGAGCATTACAAGACACGCGTGTCATCCCTTGATGCTGATTGCTTCCTAATCGCTTAGCTCATGTGTGGCATGCTGAAGGGGCCTGTCCCATTAGAGGTGGGAAAGTGAGGAGAGAGAGGGGTTAGAAGGGAACTGGGAGCTAATGACTGGGAGCCAATCAGTGGGCACACACGGGCACGGAGAGATGTAAAGGTCATTGGAGATCAAGAAGGGGGGGGCGGTAAAAATGTACCTATCCAGTGCAATGAACACTATTCAGGTGATGGGCACACTAAAAACCCCTACTTAAGCATTAAAAAGGTATCCATGTCACAAAAACACTTGTACGCCGTTAATATTTTAAAGTAGAAAAAAATTTAAAGTGTTGAACAATCACAGTTCATGAGTTGTGGAAATATTCTGGCCATGTCTTTTGAAATGGAAAGGGAATAATTTTTTCCAACAACTTTCTTAATTTCTTAAAAAAAAACAACTAGTGGGATAAAAAATTCCAATTTGTGGAAACTGGCCCTAGGCATATAGACATATTTGTAATTTAAATGGAAGACATAATGGGTCAGTCTGCTGGAACCACGTGCTAGAAAAAGATCAGATTCACAAGCCAGGGAGTCCTGTGATGTGGCCACACACGAGGGCACTTGCCCGAGTTCTTGGGCTGTAAGTCGCGTGTCGAGAGCATTCCCTGGTGTTCTAGACGTTCCGCTGAAAGGAGTGTCCTGTGACTTTTGTGCCTTCATGTAGAGCTCGGGAGGGGCAGAGGTAGAGGATGTGGCGTGTGGTTCTGGACAATGCCTGGAAAGAGGTTTTTAGTATTCATTTGAGTGATCAGGAGAGTGAAAAGTGTGTTCACATGTTGTTTTGTAATCTGCTATGTAAGAGATTAGTGATTGTTCAGACCCACCCTCAGGTCCCCTGTTGGTTAAGTGTCTCATTAGGAAAGATCTAGGTATTTCAGAACTGGGCCTTTGGGGGCTCTTATCTCATGCTTGTTTTTTCCTGTATCTCCTTCCCAGCTCATGTTAACAAAATGAATGCACACGTCTCTTTGCTAAACTCCGGAGCCTTGGTAGAGTGTGTGGTCACTTGTAGGAGGCTGCTCATGTTTCTTTGTCTGAAACAAGCAGCATTTATTCTTGCTGTCGTACTGAGAATCCCAGTGTTGAACAAAGACTCCATGGACATTTATTACATTTTTATAAAACCCCACTATGTTTTTGCAAAATATTTAAAAATGAATCATAATTCACTCAGTAGTCTCTGTAATTGACCTCTGGCCGTGGGATCAAGGCCTCCAGCTAGGAAAATAAACACTTCAGCTGCCATCGGCAAGGGGCAGGAAGCCATTAGTCTGTCACAGTGTCCTATTTCATTGGCATCAGCTTGAAATTAATGGTGAATTACAAAGAAATGCCAACAGGACTACTTATGTCATGTCCAATAACCACTTGGCCATCCTGGAGCCTGTGCAGCTGTGTCCTGCTGACACGAATTCAGCTCCTTGGCATGATGCACTTCAAAGGCAAGTCTCTGCTCCCCCAATTAATAACATCAGAGAAACACTGATGGGCCTGTGCCAGGACATCTCGCACACTTGACAGGAATGTCCCTTCATTCACTCCCCTTCTGCACCATCCACGTCTGGCTGTGTGGTTTGAAAGTACACTGCAACTTCCAGCTCTCCTCGACGCCATTCTGCAAACTCATCTTGTACAGTGCACATCTCCTGTCTGAACGCAAAACACATTTGGGCCTTGCGTACTGAAGAGTAAGTTCATATGGAATAAAAATAAAAGCAACACCAAAATGTGCAACAATCCTGATGTGTATTTGGACACGTAAATAGCTTTTTTCTAGATTTCCTGATTTCTGGGTAAGTTACTCAAGCTGAAATTGTCTCTTGATTCTGCTGCTCAGTTCTGCTGGTGTCCTGAATGCACGGGAACCTGCCAGAGCCACCATCAGCTCTGGGTGACTGGCAAGTTCCTTTTAATACTTCAGGAAACAGGACCCTTTGGGTGGGTTCTAAGACAGATTTTTATTTTATAGTGAATACATGTCCACTTTAACTATCACTGCTTTTTAAAAATAATTATTGTTTTTCTCACTATGACTATTATATTGGATCAATGTAGAACATTTTTTAATAATGAAAAACTAACCCTTGTAATCCTACTAAGCAAAGCCAGTCATGGTTAATAGTTGGGTGAGCTTTGTGCGTCACTTTTTCAGTGCAAGATTTGGAGTCTTTTTGTCCACATTCACACTAGACAGGGTATAGCATGGTTGGCTTCCAGTGTCAGGCAGCATGAGTATGTGCCTCACTAAACCTTCCAGCAGTATCATCTTGACTGAGTTTCTTAACTCCCAAAGGCTTGGCTGCTTAACCAGTAAAGTGGAAATAGTAATGCTGTCTACCTTAAAACAAAAGAGTAGATGGAAACTCAAAGGATCATTAAAAGGATGAAAAGAAAAAAAAATATATATATACATACAAATACATAAATTCATATATGTATATACACATCACTTAGCATAAAAGGCGCTTAACAAATATGAGCTCTTTCATTATTATGGATACAAGAATACACTCTGCCCTTTTCTGCCTATCATTATCACATAAGCCTTTTTTAATTATATGACATACTTCCAATATTATTTTTATGAGTACAGGACAATCCACATATTTTGCTCTTTTCCATTTAATAAATATTTATCGAACACCTACTGCAAGTTATGCACCACACTGGTAGTGGAGATAGACAGGTGAACAAAAAGCATGCCTGCCACAAAGAATTCTTTCCTGGGAGGAAGACAGACACAGAGACAGACAATCACAGTGTGATGTGATCCTAGAATACTGGAGATTTGGTAGAGAAATCCTGAGTGCTCACAGTGGAGGTGGGACTCAGCTTTCTGCAGGAGATAGCTATACATATTTAGTTATTTCTCTAATTCTGAACATTTCAGTTATTTCTATTTGTCCATTATTAAAAATACTATTAAAAATTATTAAAATTAATATTTGGGGCATACATATTTTTCTTAAGGCTGTTTTTCTTTGCGATAGAATCCCCAGAGTGGAAATTACTGCTAGTGCACTTTCAGTGATTTACTTTATTGTATTTCAGAGAGCATTTAACAAAATAAAAAAAAAAAAACTCTGAAAATTATCTTGGCATTACTTTAATTTGCATTTCTTTGATTACTAGGTACACATTGACCTTGTTTCCATATTTATTCATCATTTCTCTTTCTATTTCTGTAAGTATCTATTAACATTATTAGCATGTTTACCTGTGGGATTTCTACTGTTCTTATTGATGTTTATGAACTCTGTTTGTATTAAAATATTAGCTGTTTCCCTCTTACAGTTATTGCAAAGAGTTGTTTTTGTCTTCCTTTTAATTTTAATCATGCTTTTCTGGAACATACCAGCTCAAGGATGATAATAGGATTATAATAATAATACTATATTTCTTGAACCCACCTCACCCTCTGTTGCAAAATCTTCGGCATGCTGGCTTACGCCTTGTGTTTAGGCTGCTCTGTATGTTCTGGGCTCCAGGACAAATGGAGAAAATGGTCCATCTTCCCTGTGGGCACCACACCCTGTCCTGCATGGGCTCATGCAGTTCGTGTGAAGAGAGGAACAGGCCTCCGTATTTGGGAAAAGCTCTGCATATGATTCTGGCACCTACTCCTAATTAAGAGCCGCTAATTAAGAAACTGAACTGAATATAAGAAAATTCAACAAGGATAATGTCAGATCCTGCGCTGAATAAGAAATCCAGTGGCACCCATGAAACATGGCAGCATGACTTAGCTCCTGCTGCACATGAAGGATGTTGGTGTTTTGGCTGAGAGGAAGCCAGTAAGCGGCTCACGGAGAGATGTGGCTGCCAGCACTGCTGATTTGATGTCAGGCTAGGTGAAGAGCTCAGTGTTAGGGTGCGGGTGGTGACGGCTTCCACATAATAAACTTGTTAATACTTAAATTAATTAATGGCAATAAGATGAAGCCTCAGGGTGCCCAATTTTGGCATGATAGAAGGGGAAAAAAAGAAATTTCTTTGTGGTCTGAGCAGCTCCAAGATGGAATGACTTGCCCTCGAAGGTAAGAGTCCCCATCAGTGAAGGTGCCTGATTGGAGGCAGGAGGGCACTTAGCATGGTGACATCGTGGAACACACCAGATTGAAAATCCGTGAGTCTAAAGCCACTTCATCTCCTTCCTTTAAAACCCTAGCAGAAGGGTTTCTTTCACAAGAGGAGGTGAGTGTGGTTTAGTAAAGCTCTCCTTGATTTCTTGTGTGGGATTCATTAAATACTCCTTCCACATACATTCTATGCTAGAATTATTTCCAGGATCAATGTCGAGCTCGTTGAGATACAGTTTGCAAAGCCCACTTTATTGACATTTGGGGGGAAATTAAAATGACAAATAAAAATGACAGTTACTCATTCCCAGTTTCCTTTACCCCTGGTCTCTGCAACCCCTCAAAGAGGTCTCCTACTCCACGGTCCATCTAACACCCTCTCATCTCCTAGACGGTGCAAACCCAGTCCTTCCCATTTCTTGTGATGCTTCCATGGCCTTTACAA